TCTCTCTCTCTCTCTCTCTCTCTCTCTCTCTCTCTCTCTCTCTCTCTCTCTCTCTGCTTTGTCTAAGGCTGTAATGTATAATCCTCTATAATTATTGTCCTTTCTTCCTCTATTATGGTTGTTTTTAAGGAAAGTATCCTAAGTTATTAGAAACCAAAAAATGGTAATGGGCAGAAAGAGATAGCCACAGAGGGACACACCTTAAGGCGTTATAAGTGACCTTACTTCTGCTTATCTGAGCTAAGAGTGGTGCTACTGATAAAGTTCCTGAGATTTGTCACACATAAATGCACCTAAATCAGAAGAGCTGAGGAGGGGGTGTCCTTTTGATTTCATTTCCTGGTGAGGACCATGAAGAACTCCACTCTGCCTGGAGGAACACACCACTGTACCTAGTAGGCAATAGTAAAGAGCACAGAAGCTACAGCAAACCCACTCCTTCCTCCTCCCACCATCTTGGTTTTCTGTGCGGGTTTGCAGTATTGGAACTAGATGGTTGTTGTCCTAAGGGCGGTATGAGCTTTAAACCTTGGGATTTGGGTAGTCTGGGGCCCTACCTACATACACACCTATAGGAGTCCTATCCAAACTTCGGCCAACCATCCCCAAATACACATGCTCTCCCCTCACCACCCCAAATCCTGACGAACCTTACATGTTTTTAAACTTCCCTCCTATAAGAAAGAAAAGAAATGTAAAATGGGTTAAGTGGATTATGTTAAACATTTTATCTCATGCAAATTCAGTTAGGATGGAGGGTACAGATCCCTGAACTACCTCTTGCTGCAGCCAGGGTGAATGGGATTTCTTAAGCGGTACTGAGGTGCAGAATGGAAGTGGAAAAGACCACATGTGATCAGCAGCCTCCTGTACCTTCTTTTTTCTGAGACCTCACATTCCATCTGTCACAGGGTTATGGAGACTGTGCTGATGGCACAAGGACCTCACTTGGCTCCAAAGCGCTGGGCTTAAGGTTTGGGGTGCCATCCCAGAGGAAGAGCCACAAAAAAAATGCCTTAATTTGAGCCTGTATTTACCCCTGCTGATGGACAATTAGATGGTTTGGTTTTGTCAGCTTCTTCTCCCTCCCTCCCTCCCTTGTCTTTCCATTAGTAGCAAAAGGGTGTTTTTGGCAGAACTTTTAAGTGGCAGTTTCATTCTTGAGAATGCAAGGTAGAACACCTTATGGGTGTATTTTCTATTTGTGTTTTAAAGCTTTATGTATGGGAGGTGTAGGTAGGCATTTCTTAATAGCAAAAAAACTCACAGTTAAGATTTGCCTTTGAGACTCTTGGGTTTGCCTCTGACCAGGTGCCCAGGTCACCACCACAGTCCTGGGGTGCTAGAAATGCATTTCCCTCCTTGTACTCTAGAGTCTAGAGTGGAACTGGAAATGAGCTTGAGCCTTGGGAGCTTACTTTTCTCCAGGAAGACTCCAGTGTCTTTGGGCGGCAGCCAGAGTTCCCCTCCTCCCCTCCATTCTCCCCCAGAGTAGACTGACTCCAAACACTAGCTTTCTCCCTGGAACCTTGGAAGAATAGGACTCTGGTTCATGCTGTGGTGTCTGTAACTCGATCACTTTCCAGTTTGAGAGATGCAAGTGGAGATAATTTTACAGTGTTGATAATCTACAGAACCTGAGTTCAACACAGCTCTTTCCATGACTGTCAGTCAGGTATCGTTCCTGTAATAACACCTATCAAATTTTGTGAGGGGCGGGCTTGGATACTGTGTGGTTTTTGTACAAATGTGTTTCTCAGTGTGGGTTTTTGGCTTTGTTTTTCCTTTAGGTTTTGTTTTAATGAGGGAAGGGAGTTTTGAGAGTTTGGGAGAAAATGAATGAAAGTGGCTTAATGTCCCTCTTTTTCATTAAATAAATGAAATACCGTTTATGAATTCTAGTCCCATTCTCTGCATTCATCCATTCATTTCATAGTGCGTCCTGTAAAGAAAGAACACTCAGTCTCACCTGGTCCTGGTTAACTTTTAAGATTTCATGACTCAGGGCCTAGTAGACTGATCCTTTACAAGGTGCTTTGGTATTTAGTGGATACCTTCTTCATTCAAGGAAAAATGAGTAGAACCTCTCCAGAGGGAACCTAACCTAATGTCCGGGGGCCTCCTCCAAAAGAGAATGGTCAGGTAATACTTAGATGTAACTTGAGATTTTTTATCAGCTGTTAAGAGGTGCTTGCAACCAAGTCTGATGACATAAGTTCAATTCCCTGGCTACCCACATAGTGAGAGAGAACTGACTCCCAAAGGTTGCCCTCTGGCCTTCACATGCACACTGTTACGCACATACATATTTATATGGGTTTTATTTTAAGATAGTCTCACTCTATGGTCTTGACTTGCGAACTCTCTATACAGATCAATCTGGTTTTACATTAGCAGACATCCACCTGCTTCTCAAGTGGAATTAAAAACAAGTGCCACCACATCTGGCTTTAAATTTTTTCTCCTTAATAAGGTTGTGTAGTACAAAGTTCTACAAATTCCTCTCAAGACATTTTATCCAATAAAAATAGGAAATCCTGCTGTGTGTGTGTGTTTTTTTTTCCTGGAGAAAACTGAGGAACAATGTAAAATCTGAAGTGAGCGGCCTATAATTTCTATGTAATATCCTGAATTCCGTCCCTAGTGGGAGGCACAGCATGGTTTCTGATGTGCTGCCTGTGATATCCTGGGGGTGGCTAGATTTTATTAATCCTGGGAATGTTTATCTCTGTCATAAAGGGCAGAGGCAAGTGGATCTCTTGTGAGCCCACCTAGGGCCACATAGTAAGGTGGGGAAGGGTTTTAGTCCTGACCTTGGGGCAGAGATCTGATACCAGAATGCCATAAAGAATGGTTAATGGGCCGGGTAGTAGGACCTCATACCTTTAATCTCAGCAGGGATGCAGAGGCAGGCAAATCTCTGAGTTTGAAGCCAGCATGATCTACACAGTCAGTTCCAGAACAGCTAAGGCTACACAGAGAAACCCCATGTGGGAAAAAACAGCAAAGAATGGATAATGGGGACCAGGCATGGTTGACATGCTAGATTTCTTTCACAGTTTTATATTTTCAAAAGACTTAAGACCACTAGTAGTAGCCTAGCTGTGTAACACTTTAATCCCAGCACTGGGAAGTCAAAGGCAGGCAGATCTCTGAGGTTAGAGAACAGCCAGAGTGACACACAGAAACCCTGTCGGGGGTGTAGGAGCTACTAGCAGGAGAGGGAAATTCAGTAAACCATCTACAGTTAATACCCTTGTACCTAGGTCTCTGGTTCCTGTGTTTGCTTTTCTGCTATGCAGAAATTGGAGGTAATCCTTAACCTATTGTGCCCCCCTCCCCCGAAACCTTTGAATGCTCTTATAGCTTCATGGAGAGCAGCCATGTAACCTGTGCTGGCAGTAGCTTTGTCCTTTAGAATAAGGAGAAATCACCTGCCCTAAAGATAGTTTGTGAAGACCTTAGCAAAGTAGTGACAGCAGCTGGAGGCACCTGACAATAAGGGGAAAGATCTTTCCCATTCCCTAGCAGCCTGTCATCTGCTCTCCTAGATGGAGCAGGTGTTGGGGTGGAAGTGGTACCTCTCAGGGATTTTGACAGGCCGTGGTCTTGTATCTGGTTTGGCTTTGACATTGACAGGCTTCTAGTAGCCATCTGGATTGTAGCATCCTTCCCTCCATGTCCACTCACCTTTGCTGTTTGTTGAAACAGGCCTTTGTGTATCTCAGGACAACCTTCAGCTTCTGATTCTCCTGTGTCTACTGACCATGTGCCACCCAGCCAAGGGTCATCTTATTCCGCAACATCTACAGGGTCCCTGAGAAATACTTAATCCTCTCAGGCAGCAGGTGTCTTCAGCATACTAGTTGAGTGGATTTCTCCCAACTGCCCTGGCTTTGGAGTTAATAAATTCAAAAGTTGCTGGGCAGTGGTGGCACACGCCTTTAATCCCAGCACTTGGGAGGCAGAGGCAGGTGGATTTCTGAGTTCAAGGCCAGCCTGGTCTACAGAGTGAGTTCCAGGACAGCCAGGGCTACACAGAGAAACCCTGTCTCAAAAAACAAATAAATTCAAAAGCCCTTTGCATCATAATAATGAATCTTTGCCTGGCAAAATAACCACCCCTAGGTTTGTGATACCCTTTTCTAAGATGAGAACACTCGACTTCCATGAGGAAGTTATATCAACACAAGGGCTCTTTAGCCCTTCCCTTCCTACCAGGAATGCTGTGAGTAGGCCTATTCCTAGTAGCCCATTATGCACCCCCCCCAAAAAAAAAAGGAACAGTTTGGTCATTCTGTGATGGTCATTACTAATAGCATACCAGCTAGGCATAGCGACATACCTGTAGTCCCAAAATGTGGAAAGTAGAGACAGTAGGTTTAGGAAGTTAAGGTTGGCTTCAGTTCTATAAAGATCATTACCAATCTGGATTATGAGACAAGGCCTCAAGGGGCTGTAGCATTAAGTACTCGTGAAAGTGGAGGCTGGGTAAGGAGATAAGGCTTCTGTTGCCCTGCTCAGCATCCTGGTCCCTCTTCTGAAATGCAAGAAAGAAAATTAGGGTCTCGAGAGCACACACAGTGACTTAGAACTGTTTGTAACTCAGTTCCCCAGTTCTGAGGCATCTGATGTACTCTTCCGACTTTTTGGATACCAGATATGGGTGTTGTGCAGATACTTACAGGTAAAACACCCATGCACACAAAAATTAATTTTAAAGGGTGAAATGAGAAGCTTCCATATTCAGATGAGTACAAGTTTTAAATAGAAAAGCCAAAATTTCAGTATGTTGGTGTTTATACTGAGGATTTAAAGTCAAACTGATATTCTCTATCCAGACCAAACTCTGTGTGGTCCATCATGATAGGAGCAGGGACAGTAGCCTCAGTGAAGCAGCTGTCTTTTCTGCACATAAGGATGTGTGCAATGGTCTTTATGGTTTGGCTTTGGAGACAAGTTACCAAAACACAGTAGGAAACAGGCATGAAGAAGCCATTGCCATACAAAACATGTATGGTCCTGGGCAGTGGTGGCACACGCCTTTAATCCCAGCACTTGGGAGGCAGAGGCAGGTGGATCTCTGAGTTCGAGGCCAGCCAGGGCTACACTGTCTCAAAAAAAAAAAAAACAACAACAACAAAAACATGTATGGTGCCCAAATGGTTCATGATATGAATAGAGGACTTGAAAAAGCTATAGATAGGTAGTGGGGGTTTCATTGTCTAGTTCTCACATCACTTCTTCAGCTTCCTAGGCCTTCATGTACTCACTTGCCATACATTTAACACTGCTTGCCAGATCCTTTCATGCTGGAGTCTCCAGGATCACACAGATTTGATGCCAAATCTTGCTCTTCTCACCACAGAATGAGCTTTCCCCATTCTGTTTATAGGCATCACCCAGAAACTCTGTTCTCTCCTAAGGAGGATCAGAGGTCAGCAGCTTGCTTGCTTGTTTGTTTGTTTGTTTGTTTTTTTGTTTGTTTGATACTGAACTGGTGCTGGATATATAGCTCATTGACATCATTTTACTTGCATGTACAAGGCCCAGGTTCAATTTTAGGCAACTTAAACAAAATTGAACAAAGTGGTAGAATTTCTCTCCAGGGAAGGTAGAAGATAGTTGAGGAAGGAAATATGAATTTCACATTCTGTACACTTGCTTGTTTTATTGATCAAAACAACACAGCATTTAAATGGATAGTTACAGATGGGAAATAGGGTAGATAGAGGGATTTGGTTGGTTAGCTGGTTCTAGGCAGGGATTAGATTACAGACATGAGCTACCATAACCAGCAAATACAATTATGTTGCAGTACTAGGAATTGAACCTTAAGTCTCACTCATTTTAGGAAAGTGCTCTCCCTAACTCTTAGTGTTTTACCATGAGTAAGAAAAGGTACTTTATTGTGACAATGCCCTAGATGTTAAATAACTTACATAGGGTCTCCGGTGCAGACCCACTTTAGAAGGAGGAGGTAGGAACTTCCACCAACATCCACATTTGATAACTACCACCCAAGAACTGAAGAAAGACGTAGGTATTATGTGGGTATTATATCTGGATAAGCAAGCCCCCTCTTGACTGGAACTCCAGACGGGACAAGTCTGTCTGGTCGCCACTCCACAGATACCATACAGGCCCCACAGAGTCACCTCCGAGCCAGGATTTAAGTGTCAAACTGCTGGAATTTTGTTAGCCTGGAGGGGACTCTAGGCAGGGCGAATGGGTACAGCCTTAGTTTTGAGAGAAAAGGAGTGTTGAACCAACCTCACTAGAAGATAAGTGTGAGACAGATTAAATGATGGCTCTCCATCTTGCTCATATTTGGTTCTGACAGAAACGAGACCATCAACACCAGCATTGCCCCATGCCCTTGGGCTGAGCTGAGCGTGATCATTTAGGTCAATAATAAAACATCAAGAAGTAGGCTATTTGGGAGTCGGGGGAAGACCAGGTGACTAAGCTGTAGTTCTGCCTCCCCTCCAACAAGTCTCCCAGTAAGCAGTGAACCTGGGTTAGAAACAGAGAACAGAGATGTCTCAGTCCACATTCCGTGTGTACCTCTTAATCTAACCAGGAACTTGGGTTTGGGTAGTACTGGGCACCTGCGGAAGGCCGCCCTGGATTTAGAAAAGGGAAGGCGGAGTCCAAATACTGGGGACCGGTCTCACCCCTTGCCCGATAATGCGTTGGGTGGACCTGGCTGTGCAAGATTTAAACTAATGGCTTTGGCTGTGGACGGATTAGGTCTGATCCGATTAGAGCCTAGGCCATAGTATTCGCTCCTTGCCAGGCTCTGTGGACGTTCTCCCTGCTCTCGTGAAGAAGGCTTAGAGACGGATTGGAGAACCTTCCTAGCACCGAACACCGGATTGGCACCCGAGAGTCAGTGTCCCGGGCTCCGCTCTTTCCACACTGAGGGCGCGGGCTTCCGCCCCCTGTGGCCCTTCCGAGCCCCGCCCCGAGCCTGCGGGTGTCGGAGCCCGCGACGTCCCCGCCTCCCCTGCGCGCGCGTGGCGGGTGGGTTCCTCGGAGGTCCGCGGCCGAGCGCTCTCAGCACCGGGAGCGCAGGCGGGCCGCGTGGGCTGCCGCCGGTGCACCTGTCGGCTTCCCCCAGTGGCTCTGCTGCCGCCCCTGCGCGCCGCGCGTGCATCGCTCTCCACGTCCCGTGCCAGAGGGGTCTGACTGTCCCCTGGCGAGGAGGAACGAGAGGGGCCGGCGTCAACGCGACGTGCTGCGAGGCGGGCGGAGTGGGGGCGGCGCCGAGCGCGGCGGCGGCGGCGGCAAGCGGCAGCGGCGGCGCGGGAGGCGGGGAGGCGCGGCGCGCGGAGGACAGCGGCTGACGGCGGCATGCGGCGGCTCATGCTGCCCACCGTGGGCTGAGGCGGCCGCAGACGGGCGGCAGGCGCAGCGGCCGGGCAAGCCGAGGGCGCAGCCAAGCCGCGCGCACCGCGAACAGCGGCCGGGGCTCCGCGCAATGGGCCGAGCTGGAGGCGGGGGCCCGGGCTGGGGGCCGCCGCCAGCGTTGCTGCTCCTGGGGGTCACGCTGATGCTCACCGCTGGGGCCGTACCAGGTAGGTACCCACCCGGACCGCGACCCCAGCCAGCCCCTTGCGCCCCACCCCGTGCCAGGGTCTCGCTGGCTTCAGGTCCAGGTGGAGTACCCGAGCCCTGACAAGGGGGCGGGGCACTGCCTGGCCTGCAGCCCGGAACCGGGCGGGAAAGGGGAGGAGGAGAGGACCTGTAGGGGGTGGAGGACACAGGCCAGCGGGGAACAGCGCGCGGCCTGTGAGCAGACAGCAGGGTGGGCTAGGGTGGGGGTGGGCTCTTTAGGTAGGGGCGGGGTCTGGTCGGGGGCGGGGGCCTAGATGCGATTTGTGGGCGAGGCTGCGGGACGGGGCGGGGTCCGGAAGATGAGGCTAGGATGAACCAAAGTTGGGGGAGTACCCTGACCTCGTCTCGCAGACTGCGGGTGCTATTTGGGGCGGGAAACCATTGGCAATGTGTATTTACCAAGCTTGGGAGACAGACTCAGGGGCGGGCCTTTAAAATGGGGCGTGGCCTTAGAAACCGAAGCACTGTCCCAGGGTGGACCTACAGGTCTACAGGATCTCCCTCAGCTTCTCACCCCGACATGCCACCTTGACACCCTGCCCTCGCCCTCCCTCCCACAGCACGGGAAGCAGGCAGTGCGATCGAGGCTGAAGAGCTGGTGAGGAACGGCCTTGCATGGGAGTCGCGTGCCAATGACACGCGGGAGGAAGCCGGCCTGCCAGCAGCTGGGGAAGATGAGACCTCGTGGACAGAGCCGGGCAGTGAGCTGACTGCGGTGGGCCCTGGGGTCGGGCCAGAGGAGGCACTAGAGGCATCGGCTGCAGTGACTGGCACTGCCTGGCTAGAGGCAGATGGCCCAGGCCTGGGTGGAGTGACTGCAGAGGCTGGCAGTGGCGACGCCCAGACCCTTCCAGCTACGCTCCAGGCTCCTGATGAGGCCCTTGGGTCATCTACAATGCCCCCTGCCATCCCTGAGGCTACTGAAGCCAATGGACCTCCCTCCCCCACTATCCATGATAAGCCTAGCCTAGGCCCTGAACTCCCTCAGGAGATCCCCTTGGAGGTTTGGCTGAACCCGGGAGGCAGCACACCTGACCCTCAAGGGCCAGAGCCCACTTTTCCCCTTCAAGGCACTCTAGAGACCCAACCAGCCTCAGATATAATTGACATTGATTACTTTGAAGGATTGGATAGTGAGGGCCGTGGTGCAGACATGGGCAGCTTCCCCGGGTCACCAGGAACCTCCGAAAATCACCCTGACACTGAAGGAGAGACCCCTTCCTGGAGCCTGCTTGACCTGTACGACGACTTCACGCCCTTCGATGAGTCTGATTTCTACCCCACCACATCCTTCTATGATGATATGGAAGAGGAAGAAGAGGAAGAGGAGGATAAGGATGCAGTGGGAGGTGGAGACCTGGAAGATGAAAATGACCTTCTCCTGCCCTCTCAAAAGCCTGGTGTGGGGCCTGGGACAGGACAGCCCACCAGTCGGTGGCATGCTGTTCCGCCACAGCATACTCTGGGGATGGTACCTGGAAGCAGTATCTCTCTTAGGCCCCGCCCTGGAGATCCAGGCAAGGACCTGGCCTCAGGCGAAAATGGCACCGGCACCGAGTGCCGAGTTGGCTTTGTCAGGCATAATGGCTCCTGCCGGTCTGTCTGTGACCTCTTCCCCAGTTACTGTCACAATGGCGGCCAGTGCTACCTGGTGGAGAACATAGGGGCTTTCTGCAGGTAAGGGAGTGACAGATGTTCAGGGGCTGGTAGAACAGGGTCGAAGCAATGTAAATGGGACAGACTCAGCCAATGGGCGGTTGAGAGGCACGACTTCCCAGATGAGGTACATTCACAGGATTCTCAGGTTTGCTAAGAGCCAGGCGTGTTGGGTACACATCAGTAATATCACACTGGGGAGGCTGAGACATGACAATTGTGAATTTGAAGCCAACATGGGCTACATAGTCAAAAAAAAAAAAAAGCAATTTGTGATCTTGCCACCAGGACAAGTTCCTCAGAAGTAATATTTTGTCTTTAAAGGCTAAGTGAAGGGATTTCTCTCAGGGCTGTGGGAAGCATCGATACTTGGGAAGGAGGAGGCCTAGAACCCTGCTGGGAAGTTAAAATGGCTCCCAAGTGTTTCTGCCAGGCTGTGTGTATTTAGCCAGAGAGCCCAATGTCTCTGAAGGGGATGTAGGCATGTAAAGTCAATGTGCACCCCTAGGCCAGCCTCAAGAGCAGCCACACACGGGTGAGGTCAAGCCAAAACTTTTCAGAAAACCTTGCCAGTGATGTTTTTGGTTTTGGGTGGCAGCTCTCTTCTATTGGTGACCAACTGTCCTGGGATAGTAAGTCCATAATGTTTTCAAAGATAAGAGTTTAAAGATCTCCAAGGACACTGTCTAAAGCTACCATCCCACACCCCATCAGTAAGTTCTCGGTCACCTCACCTCTGGGAATCTTCTCACAGGGAGAGATCTGCCTGACAGAGAACATGACTGTGGAAGACCCTAGGTCCAGGGTGGTCTGTCTGGGCGGCGCTTGAGGAAGAGCAGAAGAACATAGTTCTCACTGGCTCCCAGGGAGCATTTCTGTCCTCTACAGACCTCCTTCCTTCCTTCCTTTTTTTTTTTTTTTTTGTTTTGTTTTTGTTTTTCAAGACAGGATCTCTTTCAGTATATCTCTGGCTGTACTAGAACTGGCTATGAAGACAAGGCTGACCTCAAACTCAGAGATCTGCCTGCCTCTGCCTCCCGAGTGCTGGGATTATAGGCATGGACCATTGTTTTTATTTTTATACATTTATTTTGAAACGGGGTCTCACTGTATGGCCCTGGCTGGGGCCACTTCACAGACAAGGCTGGCATCAAACTCATAGAGATCTGTCTGTCTGCCTCTGAATGTTGGGCTGTAGGTGTACACCACCATACCCAACCCTTTCTTTCTTCCTTCCTTCCTTTCTTTCTTTCTTCCTTTCTTTATTTCTTTCTTCCTTTTTTTTCTTTTTCTTTTTTTAAGACAAGGTCTTATGTAGTCTAGGCTGGCCTTGAACTCCCAAACCCCCTGCTTCCACCTCCCAAATGCTAGGATCACATGCCTAAGTCACACCCAGTTTTAAATGTCTCCATGTTTCTTTATGTTCCTGTAAGAAGTACTTAAGATTTTACTGTAGCACATGGGCATTGTAGCTTGAGTTCCAGCTCCTTCTGATGTCATTTCCTAGATGACACTAGGACCATCACCCATAGAGGATGTGACCACATACTTCTAGTTGGAGTTGTCCAACTATTCCCAACAGTAATTTCTTTAATCGAAAAACTATGGTGATGGAGGAACATAGTGCCTGTAATCCCAACACTGGAGAGGCAGAGGAAAGGAAACAGGAGTTCAAGGCTAGCCTAAGCTACATTTTGAGTTTGAAGCCACCCAGGGCTACATGAGATCCTAACTCAAAAAAAAAAAAAAAAAAGGTGGTTTTAGAAAGAACTTGCCAGTTAGTTAGAGACCACCAAAAATGTAAGACCCTGTGAAGTTTGTACTCTCTTTAATCTGGGGAACTGTGGCGATGACTTTAGGCTGGGGAACAGCAGTCTCTGCAAAATCATCTTTCATCCTACTGGAGGCCTGACATTTTTACCTTCAAAGTGAGCTTCCTGCCACAGTGTGAAATCCAGAGCCTCTGGAGAACCGAGGAAGCACCAGAACCTCCTGACGTTCTCGGGGAATTCTCCAGTAGGAGAAAGATTGTCCTCCTGGACAGTCTGCGAAGCTGCTTTCTCCCACAGGGGTCTTCTCCACGTGGCCCATGGCAACTCCTCTTGCTTGGCTCCTATCCCAAGATCACATACAGACCTCCGTGCCCAGGCCCCTCTTCAGCTTTGCACACCCAGGCCTGGCGGCAGCTCCCAAACTGTTTTACATTCCACTCACAGAAGACTGCTGAGTCTTTGGTTGCAGACTGCAGCATGCCTTTGTCTCCGTCAGTCACCCCGACCCGCTGCAGGGAGAGGATCTGAGCTGTGGCAGAACTTTTCTAGAACACTGGGTGAGAGGGCCCCCACATAGAGGGGTCTGCATTCCCTGGCAACCTCAATCAGATTGTCTGTACCTCCCATTGCAGAGAGATTCAGTCGGAAAACAAAAATTCCTCATTAGGCACGTCTCCCCACCTTGTTTTGGGTGTGAGGGAGCCATTTCGCTAGCGCATAATCTCTGGGCCCCTTTCTCTAGTCTGTCATTCACCCGAGGTTCATGTCTTCCCTCCTTTGCCTGCCTCTGTATCCTTCCACGTCTCTCTCTTTGAAGCAGCCTGGTTCCCATGGAAACAGCAATGTCATTGGAAGAGTTGGAGCCTGGGAATGTCCCCAAGGGCAAGAGAAAGTCACTCAACAAAAGAACGAGAACCCACCCCAGGGGTTGATTTCTCACTTTGCTGGCAGGGGTTTCTCACAGTTGTAAGGTTTAGGGGCAGAAACTTTGCAGGGGTAAGAAGGGAATGTCCACACATCTCTGGCTGTCAGGTCCACTTTTTCAATGTCATAGGAACTGGATGGAATAGAGGCTACCACGTGCAGGGGCAGGTTCCAGTATTTCACCTTGAATCACACCACCATCTCACACCCAATTCCAGGGCGGGCAGAATTCTGGCCATCTCTGCAAGGTAAAAGCCCAGGATTCCGTTCCCGCCCCGTCACTTACGAGTCAATTTCTCTGCTTTGCTCACCTCATTTATTTATATCCCAGGCTTTGGAACACCTGGCCCCTTTCATAGAACACCTGTAAAGTCGGGGTGAAGACACGGATGAGGTCTGCTCAGACTGAGGCTGCCGCAGTCCTGCAGTCAGTCCTCAGAGTAGGCTATCGAGTTGTGTGTCGTTAGCATCAGAGTCGGGCTCTTGCTGTGGCCAAGACTGCCTGACCATCACCTGAGACCCTCTGTGTCCTTGTAGGTGTAACACCCAGGACTACATCTGGCACAAGGGCATGCGCTGTGAATCCATCATCACAGACTTCCAGGTGATGTGCGTGGCCGTCGGCTCGGCCGCACTCGTGCTGCTGCTCCTGTTCATGATGACTGTGTTCTTCGCCAAGAAGCTCTATCTGCTCAAGACTGAGAATACCAAGCTACGGAGGACCAAGTAAGTCTGTCAGCAGGCCTTATCGCAGAGGCACGGCCCCAACCCAGGGTTATGGAGGGTGTCTGGCACCTGTTCTCTAGCCCTATGGTTTAGGCTAAAAGATCACTCAAGTTTATCTACACATATGTAGTATGTACTGGGAAAGCCTTAGGCCTGTGTAACTGTCATCAGCCATGTTCCAGCACCCTAAATCCCAGGAAAGAGGGTGCTAGAGAGGGCTACCAGCATATGTCGTGTCCCTAAGTAATTGCTACACTCACTCTGCCAGCTTTGCCTGCCTGTACTGCTTCCCTGGTGAACTGGCATTGGGTACAAGATGGTGGTATGATTTAAGGTGAAATACTGGAACCTGCCCCGCACATATCCAATGGCCAGTGCAAGGATTTTACTCACAAATCAATATAGAGTTAAGTCCAGCCCTTTCAGATCTGCTATCAGTGGATACTGAGGAGAGATGTGTTAGGCTACACTGCATTGCCTTTTTAAAGCTACCCCCGTAGGCTAGAGAGTTAGCTTAGTTGATAGGATGCTTGCCTCCGGTGCTCAAAACTCCCCTTTGATCCTTTGCACCACGTAACTGGGAAGTGACAGCATATACCAGCACTCAGAAAAGGTAAAAGCCAGATGGCCAGAAACTCAAGGTCATCTTCAGCTACATGGGAGGTTGAGGCTAGCCTGAGCTCCATGGGACCCTTTGTCCCTTGAGCCATGCCCCATGTACTGGTCCACTAGCCACTGCTGTCCATTCTCACCTTTTGAGAGTGAGTGCCAGTCTGCACTAGTCCTTTTGGTCATTGTCTACTTTCACCAGTAGGAGTCGTCCACTTTACTCATAATTAAGTTGTACCCATTTACATATATGCATGTACGCCACACAAACGCTGGTCAACCCAGATTCCAAATAGAATAGAATTTAGCAGTGACAGGCGGTCAGGGTTAACTTCCTGTACTGTGTATTTTAAGGACCACAAAGGAATACAGGTTTTTTGGCTCTCAAGCTGTGCCAGCTGCGCATCTGAGCGATGACCCACATTTAGCATTAAGTCCATACCTTGAACACTCAACGTGCAACCTTATGCGTTAGGAAAAGACTTCTCTGATGTTGAAGCAAAGTGAAAATGTGTTTAAAGTGTCACAGAGGTCTCAAAAGGAGACTAGCCCCCAGACCCAAGAGAATTCATGCAGCCTGGTCTCAACTTTCTTTTTTCATCTTCCAATATTAATCCCGCTAGCAGGAGACTCCCTACAGAGAATAGGGCTAAAGGACTTTCCCTGGGTCCTGGGAAAAAGACAAAAGACCATGTGTTGCTCCTGTGCTGGGTGAAAACATGCAGTGTACAGACAGCTGCAGCCCTGTGACCTTCCAGCTAACCACCATGGGACTGAAAGGGCCCCTCTTCTATTGTCCCTGTGCATTGAGGCAGGGACATAAATTTGTGCACGTGATTGTTCCAGAGTAATACAAGCCACGACCTTTGGCTCCTCATCCCATGGCTACACTGAAGCAATGGCTGTGCAGGGCCACTTCAGTTAGGGCAGCTGCTGGCGGTGGGGCCTGAGGAGGAGCGTTACTGCTCTGAGAACGCCACGCGTACTCAGTCCTACAGATAGTGTGACATTTATTGATTCTAAAATACATATTTCTTCTCACATATTAGCATCTCTGAAATTGGATTGTGTCTTACAATTGCTGGCATCGTGAAATCACTGTTGGCCAGATGGTTGTCTTGATGCAGTTGTAATTGCCTGGCATGCACAAACACGGTCATAGTTGTTCATATCGTTGGCAGTTCTTTAAAGTCCCAATGCACTACTTCAAGTATAAAAAAATCCCAGGGGATAAGAGAGTATTGGATGGGCTTAAGTGGCTGAAGTTTATTCCCAGGGGGCAAGTCAAGTCCTAATGCATCCTGTTCTCCTCATGGTATAATACAATATCTGATCACGAAGCTGAGGCATCACTGCTGGGATTTTGCAATGGGATTTACCTTTTTCCTTCCCTCTTCTGTCTTTCCAGCAAATTCCGGACCCCATCTGAGCTCCACAATGATAACTTCTCCCTCTCCACCATTGCCGAGGGCTCGCATCCAAATGTAAGGAAACTTTGCGACACTCCCTGTGTCTCCTCCCCCCATGCCAGTGCCTTGGCTCACTATGATAACATTGTCTGTCAGGTAACTTATCTTCCTTGAATCTCCCCTTTGGCATGCCTCTGCCCCTGCCCCCTTCCCCTACACACACCCCCTCCCCTCAGTCCCCTTGTCCTGTCTCAGAGTAGGCAGTCACCAGACAGCTTTGAAGATCAGCTCAGGGCAACCCAGTGGTGCAGGGAAGAATGTGATGACTCTCTGTCAGGCTGTTACAGGTGCTAGAGTCTAGAATGGCTTAATGATTTGAAGTTTCCCCTGTGCTGGGGAATTTCCTGGTAGTTACTGAAGCAAATGGAGATCATCCCTTAGGATACACAGAGAAACCTACCACACAGTACTTTCTGAGGCCCCTAACAGCTATCAGACTTACATATGCTCCTTAGGGCCAAGGGGAGCACAGAAACTGCTAGAATCATTAGTCTAGGGATAATTCTGATCCTCGTGTAGTGGGGAGTGTCTTGGTTTGTTTTTTTCTGAAACAGATGCTTACTATGTGACTGTCGTCGAATGTGCAGGGCATCTCCTGCCTCTATCTCCCAGTTCCTGAGAACAGAAGCATAGCTGCCACCATAACTGACTGGCTAGCCCCGAACTTGCTATGTAGCCTACTATGAGTTTGAACTCTTGATTCTCCCCCTGTCTCCTAAACATTGTGATTACAGGTGTGTACACCATGCCTTGATTCTAATTCTGTTCTTAGAAGGATAAGTTCATAATATCAATTGAACCTCCGTCCCCAAAAGGTCACAATAACCATGTTCTGAAGACACTGGCTAGCTGACAGGCCTGAGCACTGTGGTATTGGATACTGTCAGAGAACCCTGTTTTGGGGGAAGTGGGAGGGGGAAGGTTACGACAGGGTTTCTCTGTGTGCAGTCCTGGCTGTTCTGGAACTTACTTTGTAGACCAGGCTCACAGAGTTCCACAGACCAGTGGAACTCACAGAGCTCCATCTGCCTCTACCTGCTCTGAGTGCTGGGATTAAATGCATGAGCCACCACCATTCTGCTCAGAGAATTCTAAAAATAAAGTAGCCATCAGAACCAAATTCTTTCATATCTAGATCCAAGAATGTTGCACATAACGCAGGCCCCAAGACTCCAGATGAGCACTTAGCAGTATAAAGATCACAGTTCCATGGACCGGGGACCTGGGTGGCTCCTGAGCCCAGCAACGGTGTTGGAGCAGAGGACTGAAGAGCTCTGTGATTAGAACTTAGGAAGTCGGAGCTCTTACTCCTTAATACTCTAGACCGCTTCTGTCCAGAGGCCCCTCCCATAGGTATGTTTTCTGTCTGAAGCTGATGTTGATCTGTGCCAACTCACTTAGGAAGCTGAGGCAGGGGAATTGTTATTAGTTCGATCACTTGAGACCTTCTCTGAAAAATAAAGGAAGAGGGTTTGAAGCCAACTTGGAGTACGCGTTGAGATCTTGTCTCAAAAACAAAAACTAAACATCATCAAAAGCTCTGGGAAGGTAGCTTAGTCTGTGAAGTACGTTCAGTCAGGGTTTATGGATCTCTAGACAACAATGGTCGATGGTCGGTACAGGCTCTTGTTGTTCCTCTGCTGGACCCGCCATCTTGTATGTGTGGGGCAGCAGATGTGACCATATGGAGTTGTTCCTGCCTGACAGTGGAACCGGCCTCGGGGAGGCTGGCTTCTTCAGACAGCTTCACCATCACTGACTCCTTTCCCCTCTGAAAGGGGCGGTGAAGGAACAGCTCCTCCTAGGGTCCAGTGTCTGCATGAGCCTGCGCAAAGTTCCATAGTCCAGAGACACAACTATGAACCCAGAGCAGAGAGCAAGCAGGTCAGCTGCCCTGGACCCTGTAAGGTAACTCAGCTGTCACAGCAGCTGAGCCAGCCCTCAGGGCAGTGCCAGGGCCAGGCTGAGGTGCTCTCCTGGCTCCTCTTGGATCGTGAGGGTAATTTTCAGCTGAGAGTTAACACTAGAGATTGATCTGTGGCCCCATGTACATATACACACCATATACACATGTGCGCGAGCGTGCACGCCTCATCCTCCCCTGAGCTTGAGCCCAAGAGCATCGTCTTCTCTCTGCACGTGTCTGGGTTTGTGTATGCAGTCTCACTGTGGAGGTCAGTGGATAACTCGAGGGACTTGGTTCTCGCCTTCCACCACGTGAGTTCCAGGGATCACATTCCGTCCATGTGGAGTTGGAGAGCATGTGAGGAGGTCCAAGCGAAGCTTTTGAGTAAAGTCATCCGAAACTCACAGGCAGACTGCCCAGCCCCCCAGCTGCCTTCTGTTCCTTACTGTTCTAACCAGAAGGGATACCTAGGTCCTCTGAAGACCTGAGAGGGTTTCCAGGAGTTCTAATTTATCTGTTTTTTTTTTTTTTCTTCTTCTTCATGATCCCCCTTAGTGCTTTTGTCTCCTGTTTAAATCTTGTCTGCTTTCCAGATTGCCCATCCCATAGAGGTTTGTATCTGAGCCCACATTACTCCTGGGCATAGAGCGTCTATATGGCTTGGGTGGAGCACTGGAAACAGGGGTCCACAGTGGTTCTCAGGATGCGTGCCCAGTATCTGTCCTGTTCCCTCCTGGCCAGGTGCATCTGCCAACTCAAAGACAGATGGCCCATCTGCTGTGGCTTCTGTGACCTTGGGCTTAACAGGATCAGCTCTAGGCTGAAGGAACCCCACCTTGGATTAGACACTCCCCCGTGGTTTCCTTTTCAGAGGGTTTATAGCTTGTTTGAGATCCCCTGTTTGAGTTCCTCTGCTCCATACTTCCAGGACCTTGCTTCTCCAACTTCCGGCCTAGACAGCAGTTTTCTCTGTAGCTTAGACTGGCTTTGAATTTAGCATCCTCCTGCCCCAGCCCTTCAAGTAGCTTGGATCCCAGGCCTGAGTCACCAGGACTGGCTGGCAGTCCCTGAGCCCTTGGGGTGGCTTGCCCACCTTTTGACATTAGAACTCTGAGAGTCACTCTCTCTTTATGTACCCTGAATAGCATATATTGAAGGTGAAAGGGTCTCTCAAGGAATCTGAAACCTGGTTCTTGTAAAAGGAGAGGTTACTATAGGCATACTGTGCTTTCCTGACCCTACTGTGTGTTCCTCGGCTTTTCAGACCATCCTACTTTATTTTGGAGGGGTGGGAGTTGGGAGAAGAATCTCCTGCATTCCAGGCAAGCACTGAGCTGTATCTCCTACCCCATCTTGAACTTAGAAAGTGTAAAGCAGCCGGGCAGTGGTGGCGCACGCCTTTAATCCCAGCACTTGGGAGGCAGAGGCAGGTGGATTTCCAAGTTCGAGGCCAGCCTGGTCTACAGAGTGAGTTCCAGGACAGCCAGGACTACACAGAGAAACTCTGTCTTGAAAAACCAAAAAAAAAAAAAAAGAAAGAAAAAAGAAAGAAAGTGTAAAGCAAGAGTGAGCCATTATGTATGTGCCAAGATGGCACATACCTGTAATGCCAGTACTTGGAAAGGCTGAGGCAGAAGATCATGAGGTCAGCCTGAGCTACATAGAAAATTCAAAGCTAGCCTGGCTAACACAGTAAGACCTGTCTCAAAAACTAAGAAATAAGCAGGCAAGAAAAGTAAGAGTTGTTTTTAGGAAGCCTAGCATGGTGTGATTCTGCAATTTGAAAGGTTAAAAACAAGAATATTAGGAACTCAAGTTCATTCTTAGCCATCTAAGTTCAAGACCAGTTTAACCTACATGAGACCCTGTCTCAAAAACAAACAGGACTGGCAAAATGTCTCAGCAGTGAAGGTACTTGCCCCCATGCCTGACGATCTGAGTTTGACCCCTAGAAACCATGTGGCTGGAAGAGAGAACCAAGTCTCGCAAGTTGTCCTAGGTCTCCACGTGAGCACAGTGGCACCGAGACCCGTGTGCGTACATAATCAGTAATCCATGCACACCTGCAATCATGCACACCGGCTCCAGGGGAGGCAGAGACAGGAGGATGGCTGGGACTTTTGGCCTTCTACCTTAGCTGAGAGAAACAGGAGCCCTGGGTTTGACCCCTGCTCCCCAAAAACTAGGTGGAGAGTGATAGCTGAGGAGCTGTGGTATCCTCTCTGTCCGTCACAGACATGCAGCATGGTGTATCCACACAGACACATACAGATAACTAAGGAAATATCTTCAAAATTAATCTGGGGGTGATGCTGAATGCCTCTAATTCCAGCACTCAGGTGGCAGAGGCAGAGGCAGAGGCAGGTGGATCTCTCTCGGTGAGTTCTAGGCCATCTGGTCCTTCATAGTGAGTTCCAGGACAACCAGAGTCACAGTGAGACCCTATCTTAAAACAAAACAAAAAAGTCCTTAAAAAAAAATGCAGGTGGCGCACGCCTTTAATCCCAGCACTTGGGAGGCAGAGGCAGGCAGATTTCTGAGTTCGAGGTCAGCCTGGTCTACAGAGTGAGTTCCAGGACAGCCAGGGCTACACATAGAAACCCTGTCTAAAAAAAAAAAAAAAAAAAAAAAAAAAAAAAAAAAAGCAGCTGTCTAGTGAGATAAGATATTTTATATTCTTTCCTCTTTTCAAAAGTACAGATGTGTGTATACGTATGCTTTATGTGCACCATGTGCTGGTACCTGAGGAGGCCAGAGAGTGTGGGATTCTCTAGAACTGGAGTGATGTGGGTGCTGGGAACTGAACCTGGGTCCTCTGGGAGAAACAGTGAGCGCTCTTAACCACTGATTTGCCTTTCTAGCCTCATCTCTACCATTCTTGGTGACCATGACACTGTCTGTTTAGTCAACAGTCTGGACCCTTAAGATTGCTGTTTGGGTCACCAGGGAAGCTGGTGCTGAGGCTCAGCCTGACTGTTACCTTTCCTCCAATGCTTTTTATGAGGGATGAGGAAGGGGTTGACACAGCAGCCTCCGACAGCTTAGAATGTGGACTCAGAGGCCTGTGCTTGGGTGGGCTTCCTGTAAGTCCTGAAGGGGCAAATGCAGCTCAAGGTCGGGCTCTGGACACAGGTGTACCTGCAAAGTGCGTTTTGAACTATGAGCTTGAGTCTGGGCTGACAGAGCATGGGAGGCCGCTGAGGTGGCTGGAGGAGGCGTTGGGGCCTAGCTTGACAGAGTGCCTTCTGAATTAGTGTCTCCAGCAGTACAGTTGTGATGGCCTGAGGCTCATGTCTTAGCTTCTAGTTGACTATGAGAGAAGTCACCACAGACCTGTATATGCTCCATTGGGGACACTGACTGACAAGCCATCTTCTCTCATCAGGGCTTCTTGTAGAACAGTCATCCACACGAGACTTTGGATCCTTAGTCAAGTATTTAAAGGATCTGTTTCTTGGGCTGGAAAGATATCTTGGGGGATAACACATGCTGCTCTTACAGAAGACCCAAGTTCCGTTTCCTAGTACCAGTATTAGGCAGCTCACAACTGCCATTAACTCGAGTTTCAGGGGAACCTGAGGCCTCTGACTTCTGCAGTCACCTCCACTCAGGTACACACACCCCCACACAGATACAC